ATTGCATAGGTGGGCAGATTCTACCTAGAGAAGATGGTTCTAAAGGCAACTAGGACCAAGCCATGTAGAACTTTATAGATAACAACTACCACTTTGAATTGATCCCATATGCCTACCAGTAGGCAGTGCTTTTCCTGAAGGATAGGCATTATTTTACTAAACTGGCTGACCCAAGTCATCAAACAGGCAGCTGCAACTTTTAATATATCTTCAAAGGTAGTGGCTCATAGAGTGAATTGCAGTGCTCTAACCGGGAAATGACAAAAATATGAGTCACTGTCTTCAGCACCTCTAGATCCAGGATAGGTTAGAACTGGTAGACCAACCAAACTGGCCAATAGCTGTCCTGGTCACAGCTATCACCTTCTACTCTAGCAGGAGTTGTGGGTCCAGGAGAACCCCCAGATCATTCAGAGGAAGAACAATAGAACATTCAGAGCAACAGAGGGCTTCTGTATAAACAGTAACTGCATCTGCCTGGGATTTAGCCTGAGGTATAGATATAAAGTTGGGTATCATCAGCATACTAATGATACTTAACCCTAAATAGAGGGATGATCTCTCCCAGTAGCTTTATATACATACTAAATAAAACAGGGGAGAGATCTGTGCCTTAAGCCCAAGAGTTTGACCTCTCTTCTTCCAACAACACTTGATAGGAATAATCTACCCAGGAAGGAGTACAGCCACATCAAAATAGGATCCCTGGCTCCTAACCCTCACAGGCAGTCCAAAAGGATATCATGTCTGATGGTACTGAATGGCCCTGAAAGTTCTAGTAGGACCAGGAAGGAGGCACCTCCCCCTTCCAGCTCCTGCCACAAGAGCAGCCAAGGGAGTTTCCATTCCATGCCCATGCCTGAATCCCAACTGAAAGGGATTTGAATAATTATTTCATCCAAAGCCCCCAGTAGTTGGAGCCCCACCACCTTCTCAACAGCCTTTCTTAAAAAGAGTGGCCTGAAGAAGGTTTGAGAATGATCACGGATAGCTGGATTGGGAAAGCAAGGTGCTCTTCTGGATCAGCTCATGGGCAGCCCAGTTGAGTTCCTTCATATTCCAGAACTCAGCCAGATGTACTAAAGTTCTCTGGCAAACTTCTCAAATGCCTGTTATAAATCACTTAGATCCATAAAGAGGCTGGTGCAGACCAACTTAATGGATTCCCCCATAGAGGTTAGTAACGGTTCTGTCCATCACGTTCCATCTAGTGTGCTTCAGCCATAAGTAAACAGAAGTTTAGGAAAAGGGTTTTAATCATTGATCATAATCAGTGGGCAGATTAATTTGGAAATATGGAGGCAGTTTTTACTCTACTCTGATTCCAGATCATTTGGGCTTTGAAAGTACAGTACATCAGATTGATTCTGTAAATCAGTTGGGATCCATATGGATATTAGAGCGATGTGCTCCATTCTGCCAAATCTTGTAAGTTATCACTGGCATTTGCATTTTGGACCAATGGAACTTTCTCAGGTATTTTCAAAAGGTGCACCATGTATAACACAATACACTTGTTCAGTCTGGAAGTACCCAAAGCCTGACCAACTGGCCATTTCTCAATTTTTTCTTACACTCAGCTAATAGTATTTCCATTTTGGACAGGAAGGGTTTATAGGCAGGTGTGATCAAACCCCTTTCTGTTCCAATAACCAAACTGTTTTGAACTATCACTGTATTCATTTTGACCTTTTCCTTTTGAAACTGTCTACAAAATACTCTAAGGATGGTGTTTCCTCATGAATACATATTAGGAAAAACCCTCCTCTTTTTCTTGTTTAGTTTTTGTTTTAAGGAGAAAAAAACTTTCAGCTGAGAAGAACGGCAAGGAGGTGAAGCTAGAATAAATTAAGTTTTGATAGCATCTCTCTATGAGATAACTTGTGGCTATCTGTCACAAGTGAGTCAGAGATACAAATTGCTTGTGTAATAACTGGAATATATATTGATAAGATACCACCAGGTATAATTTTTTGAACATGTACAAGCAAAGGGAAATAGGGATATTTGTATGTTCTGTCAACAGCCTATGCTAGTGATCTGTATGTAATTTCAACTATTATTCCAGTATAAAAAATGTTTTGTACATATAGACTTGGTAATAATTTCTTGGCTAGGCCACCATCTTGCCGTGTTATCTGGGACTCCTTCTGGTTTGTGAACTCTGAGGAAGTAGATAGAGTGCTGTCTAGATTGTCCTCTGCCACATGTAGTTTGAACCCCTGACCATCCTGGCTGTTGTGAGGAATGGGTGGAGAAGTGACCACCTGGATCTGTGAGACTGTTAATGCTTCCTTGCATAAGGGGGAACCGCAACCATGAAGGAGGCAGTTGTACACTCCCTTCTGAAGAGTTTATCTCAGGACCTGCAATCCTAGATAACCATCAGCAGTCTCCAACCTTCCCTTTTGGGGGAAGGTTGTTGAGACAGTAGTGGTGGATTAACTGTGCAGCAACCTAGAAGAAAGAGATTATCTGGGCCCTTTTCGATAAGGCAGTTTTGATTGTGCTCCTAGATGTCAGGACCTGAATAGGGTTAGGCAAATAGGCATTCAGTACCATTGACCATAGTATCTTATTGGTATTGTCAGTAGGAGGTCTGTTGTGGTGGGGGATGAGAGGTGCCCCTGACTTATAGGATACTGTAGGGGTTGGTCCTCCCTGCCTTGCTCTTTAACACCTGTATGAAAACACTGGGGGAGGCCATCCAACAGTTTGGTTGGTATGATATCATCAGTATGATGATGACACCCAATTATACATCACCACCCCAGGAGAGATACTGTTGATGGTCTGTCCTAGTATCTGGAGGCTGCAAAAGTATGGATGGGAGAGAATGGGTTGAAGTTAAACCCTAGGAAGGCAAAGTTGCTGTTTCTACACTGGGATTCTCCATTGACACTAGTGTTATTTCTGGGCAAGCACTATCTATGAGGAAGCAGGCTTGTGATCTGGGGATCCCTCTGGACTCACAGGTACTGCCTTGCCCAGTTTCGGCTGGTGCACCAGTTGTGGCTTTATCTGCTGCAGGAGGACTCTCACTCTCATTACCGCTTGGATAGTCCATTGTAATTCCCTTTACATGGGGCTGGTTGAGAAAGCAGCAGCCTGTGTGTTTATTTCACTCAGTGCTGGGAGCAGGCCACACCAATAGTGCAAACTCTGTACTAGTTATCAGTCCAGTTCTGGGTACACGTTAAAGTGTTGGTATAGCCTACAAAGCCATTTAAGGGTTAGTACCTGAGTGCCTGCAGGACCACCTTCTCCAACCTGTATCAGCTCAGCCTAGATCATTAAGGGAAAAGCTCTTGTGGTCCCACACTTCTGGGAGGTGAGGAGAGCTAAAGCATTGCTTCTCAGTGGCAGCATCAATGCTGTGGAATGCTTTCCTCACAGAGATCAGACTAATGGTGGCTTTCAGAAGGTTGTTAAAAAGTGAACTCTCTCACTGGAGAGAGTTCCAGTGATACTTACCAACTGTGACAGCTTTTATTTTTTCACGTTGTATTTTTTTTTTTAAGTATTATTGTTATGCTGTATTTTGGTGGTTAAATTCATGATTTGGATTTATTTTAATCATACCATGGATGTTTTAATTTTTTTGGCATATCATGTAGCCCACCAAGAGTTGCAAGATAATGGCAGTATATAAATTCAAATACTATGATAAAAAAATAATTGAAGGAGGCTACATTAATAGGCAGATACAGATTTCTTTCAAATGTGCTTTTGTTCCTGCTGAGCTCCTTGGTTTATGGTGGATAACAGCAGAAGCCTTTGCTGCAATATTTGCAGAAGGCTTTTAGAAAAGGACAGAGTAATATAAAATGGAACACCAGATTTGCCTTTTTTATTGTATTATCTTTTCTCTTTGATAGGTAATGGTGGTAATTGATGCAGCTGTAACCCATCTGGAGAATTTGCACTGCCTGGAGGAATACCTTGCTAATCTTGGCAAGAAACACCAAGCAGTTGGTGTGAAGCTGGAGTCCTTTGAGGTAAGCACTTGTTACAGCTGGTTTGCTGTGCCTTGCTTTTCAGTCTTTCCTCATTTCTTTAGGTTGCGTTACAGGTAGTCCTCACTTAACGGCCATTTGTTCAGTGACTGTTTGAAGTTACGGCAGTGCTGAATGAATTGTAGTTACAACCAGTCCTCCAAGTTATAGCTGTTGCAGCACTCCTGCAGTCACGTGATCAAATTTTGGGTGCTTGGCAGCTTGCCCACGTTTACAACCACAGTGTGCGCTTCAACTCCCCCCACCCGCCTCTTTCCCCCCATCTTTGTCCTTTTGGCTGGCCCCCCCTCTGCTGCCACTGCCTACCCCGCCACCCCCCAGCTGACCTTTGCTGTCTTCCTCC